TCTTTTGTTATATTGTTAGAGTTCTTCTACCAATATTTAGAAATGTTTAGTAATCTAATAAATGAGTCTGATGTTATTTTATTTTGTATAATATTTAATGCCAGGTTTTAATATTAAATTTACACTGAATTAATAAAATGAATTGTATAGGGCTATGGTTTGACTGTTTGTCCCCTCCAAAACTCATGTTCAATTTAATCTCCGCGTGGCAGTATTGAGAAGCAGGGCTTTAAGAGGTGATAAGATCCATTCATGGATTCATAGATTAGTCGTTCATCACAGGAGTGGCATCAGGAGCTTTGTAAGAGGAGGGATCCGAGCCAGCATTCAGTCCCTGTGCCATCAGTGGCCCAGGCCACCTCAGGGCTGTGCTGAGAGCCTCCCGCCAGCAAGAAGCCCTCGCCAGACATGGCCTCTCAACATTGGCCTTCTCAGCCTCGATAAGTGTAAGAAAAAGATTCCTTTTCTCTATAAATTACTCAGATTCAGGTATTCTGTTATAAGCAACAGAAAACAGACCAAGACGTAGAGCTTCCGTCTTCTGCTCCATCCTAACCCCCTCCCTCCCCATGGTATAGAATTCTGTTAACTCAAAGTGTGGTCATGGACCACCAACATGGGCAACACCTGGGAACGTGTTAGAAATGCAAAATCCCAGACCCCAATCCAGACCTACAGAACCAGAATATGCATTATTAATAAGATCGCCAGGTAAATTGTATGGACAGTAAGATTGGAGCAGCTCTGACCACAACAGTTTGAAGCTTAAACATCCTTGGAATTTGCCTCATTTTTCTTGTTATCAAGCTTACAAAGTCTTTACCTTCTTAGTCTTTTCAAAGAACCTGGCTTTTGAAGTCAATTAGCATGACTCCTTCAAAGCTACAAAGGAGAAGGTGGAGGGGAAACCTTACAATGTGAACCATTCCATGGATGAGTTAAGCTTTGCTTTCCATTAACATCAAAATCAGGTATGCATGCAAATCTGGACTTCCAGGGACCAAAACCGTGAGAATGCAGTATTCATAGCAATCTTTGGTTCACGAAGCACAGTCTGAACAGGGAACTCCCCGCACCTAGATGGCCTTTCTGCATACTTCATCACATCTGAAATGCCATCTATTGTCTCACCGGTAGACCTCATTAAACAATGCTTTGAGTATTTCTATCTTATTTTTACAGTGTATACGCCTTTCCTGCTATGTCACTTGAGATTTATACTTTAAAAGGTCTAGTAGACTATCCCCTACTAAGGGAAATGCAGTCCCTAGCATGATTTTCATGTACTAAGACCAACCGGGCCCTTGGAATGCCCAGTTTGCCCAGAGTCAAACAGGGACCACAGGAGAGACTGTGCCTTGAAGGGGGAGCTGAGAAAACAAGCATTCCCTCAGATAGCGTGAGTTAAAACCTTGACATGCCCAGATGTAGAAAATGGCAGATTTCAGATATTCACCCTAGACAGGACAGTTATGTGCAATGCACTAGCTTTTCTCCCCTTCCACTAAGAAACCAAGGTTTTGTTTGCCCTCTTAAAAATGTATGAAAACCCTATTACGTATATACTTTCACTTTTTGCCTTTGCAAATATTCTGATCAGACAAAAATTTCAAAAGCCAGATGACTGTTAGGTTTTGCACTCAAATTGACCACAGTTTAGAATAATGGCTGCCAAAATATAAAGACGGCTATTGAATTTGGGGTTTTCAGTTCACTGACAGACCATCTTATGTTGAGCATTACGAAGGAGTTCTTACAAAAATACTGCTGAAGGCCTCTACAAAATTAATTTTAATCTCGTGCAGACCAGAGATTTCCAATCTATAATAATCTATTTTATAAGCATTCACAGAAGCAAGCACTTGAATAGACTTTCTTTTGTGGTGCTCTGTGGTCTCCTCTAAGTATCTGGACTATAAACCATCTTCACCTCATAGTCCTGGCAGCACTGTTTTTAGGACATTGTTAAATGCCAATAAATAAGTGCTGAGTATTGAAAAAGAGGAAATAATCCTCATTCCTTCCTACCTCAGAATAGAACTAATCAATTCACAAGCTCGATATTTTTCCCCTCTAATCAAAATGTTCCCCTCCTAAATTCCAGTTTAGAAAGTGAATAAAAGAGAGATGGAATGGTAGCAGTAAATGAAATGATATCCATTGCATTTAAAAGTTTTGAAAATAAAATACTAAGGAACAGACCTTTTGACATTGAAATCTTACACAGACAGGGCATTCATTACAAAGTAGAAATAACTAAAGTAATATAATTCCAGGTTTTAGGATCTTGAATTCATTTTTTATTCTTTTCAATTTTTTTTTCTGGGAACAAAGTTTAAATTTAAATCCAAAACATCCTGTAATACCTCTCCTCTGACCTAAAGTCCTAGAAAGATAAGATGAACAGGCACTATGTGACTGTTCTGTTTTTTTCAATGTTAGACAAACCAGGAAAGTGAGCTTCACAGTAAAGAATAATATAAATACCAAAATGGACATATCCTGGCTATTTTGATTCAACTTCCTAGAAAAGTGAGTGTGACTTAAGGAAGGGTTCCTGCAGGGTATTGCACTTGAGCAGACTCTTGAAGGGCAAGCAGCGGATGGATTAGCTAAGACAAGGATAAGGAAGGAAAGGGGCAGCACGGGAGAGACTGAGAGAGAACAGAATACAGGCAACAGGCAAATCCTGTTATAAGAGTTTACTGATGGGCTGCAGGTGAAGACCTTGTAGAGGTTGCATATTCAGAAGTTTTGACATCATCACTTGACACACATGAATGTGTTAACTCCTAAAACAACCGTGAGGAGGTACTGCTTTTCAGACAAGGGAAGAGAGAAGCACAGAGATTGAGTAATTTATGTCAGGTTAGACAGCTAAGAAATGGCAGAGCCAAGACTGGAACCCAGTACCAACGCCATACTCAACCTCTATATTATTTGGCAGCTACATGAAAGATTAATTTTGAGGGGTCAGGATTGTAGGTAAGAGCTATCTGGAGTTTTACTGCAATAAAGTAGGCAAGGATTGACAAGGCCTCAATTAAGATGCTGGTAGTATAAGATGACAATCATGCCTATAGGCACACACTACCACATCCGGCTAATTTTTTTATTTATTGTAGAGACAGGTCTCACCAAGTTGCCCAGGCTGGTCTGGAACACACAGGCTCAGGCAATTCACTCGCCTCGGCCTCCCAAAGTGCTGGGATTACAGGCTGAGCCACCGGGCCCAGTCAAAGAGGACACTTTTTATAACACTTTTAAAGCATAATGAAAAGACATGGCTCTCAAGATTGTCCGAAGAATTACTCCCAGTAAAAAGCACTACATGTTAATGATCAGACATCAGAATACCAACTAGTCAGGTTTGTTCCACTGAAAGTCGTTTCCCCCTCATCTCTAGGATTTTGTTTCCATAAAAGTCAAAAAGTTAACATACATCTGCCCTATCCATTTAGCAAAGCAGAATCAATGATGTGGCTTGTCCTGTCACTTGTGGAATAAAGCCTTCTTTTAAAAACTAAGTGGATTACTGGGATTTAACAGCATCCCACCATCAAACTCAAAATATGAAAGACATAAACAGTCACCGAACAGCAATTCCAGCACAAAGTGCTTGTGATGCAACACCTAGGGACCTGCCACCCTATTTTTGGCCTCCATTGCCCTGTTGATCTTAATGCAGTTGTGTTTTGGCATTTTAATGAAAATATGAAATACTAAATGTTATCACCTCAGTGTGGGAAATGGTAATACTGGGTATCAGTATTTCTGTTAGAGAAGGGGTGCTGTCGACACTTCTGGCAGCACAAGTTTCTTCATGTGTAGACCTATGTCCCCTTCACAAGCAAACATTGCATATTCCTACTCCACCACCACCCCCCCCATGCCAGAAACACCCTCATTATCTAGAGACAGAACATAAAATACTACTTCGTGTGCTCCATCAATTATCACACCTGTTAATTTTATTTGTAGAATGGCAAAAATGAACTAAAGAGTAGTTATCTGCTCACAAGCACAGAAACACTTAGGATTCTCTTTTTTGACACCTAGCTGTTATTAAAGACTGGATTCCTGGAAGGTCCGTTCCCTTTGCTATTTTACAAGTGTACATGTGATCACAAGGTGGACCCAGGAAAGTACACTACTGACCCACCCCTTACCCATCTATCGAAAAGCAGCTGTGATTCCCAACAAACAGTAAAAGCTCACTCCCAGCTCCCAGGATTATCAGCCCTTCGTCTTGTTTCACCTGGGTAACAGGAGACACAAGGAAGAGGATGTTAATTCTGATAGGCTCTCCTGCGTCTACCAACACCTCTTTACAGTGAAAAGTGCGAAGTGACTGCAAATCCACTTGGAAGAGGCACCTCAAAAGGTAATCACTACAGGAACAAAACTAGCAGAAGTCATGTTTGCAAAGATAGCATCAAGTCTCAGATGCTCCCTTTCTGCCTCTTGGTAGGATGGATACAGGAGCTTTGGGACACGAATATCACAATGCCAAATGAAGAAAATAGCAGAGATTCGCTCTCATTTTGAAAAGTTTCTCTCAGATAATATCCCACGACGGGCCTCTTATACCTAAATAATCTTAAGTACTAACTTATGCCCATAAAAGATAAATAAAATCTTCAGGCCTGACATATAGGCAGAAAATCAGCTAGTCAGACAGAAGATAAACCCTCAGAGCTACTAATGAATGCCTAAGTCAATACTCTTTTCCATAGATTACACTCAACGTTATCAAACTGCTTACACAGGAAGGGGAGACTACATAGCCAAGATTTTCAGACCTGTGAAAAAGAAATAGCTACATACTATTGTTTCAGCCAATGCCATACACACCTCCCAGGACTTGGAGAAGAACAGCTAATTTTATTTCATCCTAACAATGAGCTTTGTAGAATCTGTGCCCCCCTGAAACAAGGCAGGATACAAATATGTGGGCAAGGAAATAAACGAAAAATTATTAATGTCACAAATATCTCATATGCCAGTCTGTAACTGTTTAATTAGAGTTAGCCAAAAGACATTGCACCCTTCAAGTGTATGATGGAGCTTAACAGTGGTTTTATTAAGTAAATGCTTGAAAGTATTCTACATTAAATTCAAGTTACTTCACATTAATGTTTGCAAATACATTATCACCAATTCCCAAGTATTTCAAATCCGCCAACTTGAAGTACAGAAGGCTTGCTCACTTAATTCTTCTCAGGCAACGAAAAGACTGAAAGAAGCCTGACTTGAGTCCCATCTCTAACCAACAATCACCATATCATCACTGGTGAACTCATACGAGGGAACCTCGAGATTGAGAGGTGCAGGCCCCTTCCTGATCCTGCCAGATGCATCATAGTGTGACCCATGGCAAGGGCAGTAATAACCACCAAAATCTCCTGCATTTGCAATGGGCACACACCCAAGATGCGTGCAAACACCAATCAGGATAACCCACTCCGGTTTCTTCACGCGTTCTAAATCATGCTGTGGGTCCCTCAACTGGGACACTTCAACTGCAGCTTCTTGGTCAATCTCCTTCTTGGTTCTATGGCGCACAAACAAGGGTTTGCCTCTCCACTTGAAAGCCATGTTCTTGCCTTCCGGAATATCAGATAACTTGATCTCGATTTTCGACATGGCCAGCACATCAGCAGAAGCACTCATGCTGGAAACAAACTGGGAGACAGCATTCTTGGCAGCATATGCGACGCCCACAGTAGTTGCTGCAGTTACCAAATAGGAGAAACCTTTTCTAGCCTCGCTGCTCTCTCTTGAAGACGTTGTACTATCTAAAACTTCAGCGCGACGGTAATCAGAGAAGTCAGGCACTTTGATGTCTGTATGAGAATAACGAACAGAAGCAGGGACTGCAAGACAAACAGAAGGTTAAAAAAGACAATTAGGTGAGTACCCTGAAAGAGACATACATCAGAAAATAGACTTGTATGGATTTACAAGCAAAAACTCAAATTCTAAAACTGTGAGATATGGTAGTCATTGGGACTCAGAAATAACCAAATTAGCAGTGCTGGTATATACCTAAAATGAAGTCAACTACTACTTTGCATATCATTATGAAATCAAAGATAAATTTGTAAATTGGGCTCCTCCTGGTTGGTTGAATGCTGCAGATTCAGAATCTGTGATAACTCAGTGCCTCAAGCTTAAAAAGTGAAACAAAACTAACAGCAATATCTCAAAGTTTCCAAAAATTCAACTGCCAAGACATACTACATAATCATGCTAAATACCTCCCATATTACCTGGATTATAAAGGACCATAAAACTCATCTCGTCTACCCAATTTTACTAGGGCAAATGTCTATACTCCTATCTATGTGCTCTCTGAAAGAACTGTTACAAATTTATAAAGGTAATAAGCATTCTGTGACCTGCAAGTATAATTTTAGTTGCAGAAAATGTAAGGATTTCTAGACTCTAAAACCTCTAATGGGCACAAAAGGGCATCCTTATCAGAAGAGGCAGCTCTCAAAATAAAATGAAATCTGCAAAAGAACCAATTATTTCAACTGAGCAAGGGAAAAAGGCAAAATTTTCATATACCCCCTCTTCAGTGAAGGGCAATGGCTTCGATAGGAATAAGAGCATTAGCTTTCCTCTTCTCTGCTGTGGGTCGCTCACCTGGGACGCTTCTTCTGCAGGCCTGGTGAAGACTGGCAGGGGCAGGAGACCACCTGCTCTGACTGCGCGGGCAGCCGACACACAGCGCACTACAGACTTTCCTCAAGTAGAAACCAGACCCCAGAGTTGCCAGCTCCCACCACTTCAAGAAACGCCAGAAGTCTCCCTAGTTTTTACCACTATACAGTTTGTGTTAAGTGAATGTTAAATACACAATATTTACTGTGTAGTACCTTAAAAGCAAGTAGTTTGTGGTCAAAAAGCAAAACAAAACAAATATGCCCTTCTCTCCCAATACCATTTTCAGATATCTGACAAAAAGAATCGTCACTTTTAGAGAATGTATTGTTTCCAAAACAAAGATGTACTTATACAACCCATTTTCATTATAATAAATTGTAATTCTTCCTTGGTCTACTAGGCTGTCTCATTCTAACAAACTGTACTTCCTTGAGTAGTCAAATGTTACAATACAGAATACTTCAACTTGCTTTTCACATGGTTCTCAAGGCACATTTATAAGCAAGAATGAAACCAATCAAAATCACTTTATGCATTTTTCCGATGAACCCAACCACAGGTAGTGGCAATTTGAGATTCACATCTATGGATTTGTGGAATCAAAGTGACATTATACCATATACTACTCTACCTAATGCTAACATGTATGAATTTTACTTTCCCCAGCACTGCTTGGGGTTTTAGAGAAGTGTTTCAAGCCTACAAGAATAAAAAAGCCAAGAGTTCATACATTAAAAACAGCATACACAAGGAAATGTTCACCTTCCTTATTCAGAGATTTGCTGGCAAAAGGCTACTCTCACTCTATCTAGCTGGTTACACTGTATTAGGCTACACCACTGACAACTTTTTAGGAAATTACATTGCCACGCTGCAAAGATAATTTTCTAAATATTTACATGAGCTGTATTAGATCTGACTTTAGTGGCAAAGATGCGAGATTCGGCATCTAACCTAAAGCAAAATCAAATACAGAAATATCATTAGAAATAAAAAATTTGAGGCATTTAACAAAACAATTTTGTTTAAGGTAACCTCTGATGTGCCTTGGAAATCTGCGAAAAAGTAGTACAACCCTCCCCGCCAATTCAAAGACCTTTTCTCCTGATCCAACCCCTCCATTGCCACTCCACCACTACTCATAAGTCATCTAGACAGATCATAATATCAACTTAAGCTACAAAGTGATGTGGGGTTTTTTTTGCCTTTCGGTTCCACATTATTTGCCTTTTTTAAAAAACGAATTTCTTCTATAAGGCAGGTAAGCCTCCAATTTTCAGGAGAACCGCTTCAGCCATTTAACGAATTCCAAAGATGCTTTTCTCTTGGTATTGAAATTTTCTCTACCCCTTTTGTTTCTCATCTCCCAGTCCCAAGAATAAGCTTGGAATGAGGTAGGGCAGAGGACCCCAACCTTTTTGGCATCAGAAACCAGTTTCCTGGAAAACATTTTTCCAGGGACAGGGTGGGGGAGTCGGGAAAGTGGGGGATGTACAGTCAGACCTCACTACTGCTGTTAATCTCTATTTGTAGCCACCTCAGTTCATCAGGTATTAGGCTCTCATAAGGAGCCCATCCTAGATCCCAGGGGCGCACAGCTCACAACAGGTCCACGCTCCTGTGAGGCTCTAAAGGCCCTCCCTACTGATCTGACGGGAGAAGAGCTCGGTTGGTGATGCAAGCGACAGGGAGAGGCCGTAAACACACAGGAGGCCTCTCTGGGGCGCTGCCCACCTCCTGCCGTGTGGCCCGGTCCCTGAGAGGCCACGAACCCGCATCCGTCAGTGGCCCAGGGAGGTGGGGGACTCGGGGCAAGGGACTCGATGCCTGCCCTGGACGCTTTCCCCAACACCCACCGGTGCGCTTTGACATTCACGCGCAAATGCTCGGCACCAACGGCTTACGAAATCCGCGGCTGCAGCGAGACACAAGCGGGAAGGCGGCATTCTCCATGCCCTTCAGCTCAAGGTCAGCGGGGTCGGCGAAGGCCCGAGCAAAGCGGCAGGGACGCGGTTTTCTTCACCGGACGCTCACTGACCGGAAAGCAGCAGCAGGGAAGGCGCGCGGAGAAGCGGGCGAGGCGCGGGGGGCAGAGGGCCACGACCGGGCGGCCGTCGGGAGG